CTATGTGCGCGGTAGCGTACTGGCGTTGGGTTCATAATAAGTAAATATATGTATCGTTTATAGCTAGCCGCTGTCGTGTAGCGCCGGTGAAGTTCGTTACGATTCCGCGCCTGGAACTTCAAGCCGCAGTACTTGCTGCTCGTTTATCGCGTACAATAATTACCGAACATAGAATCAAGCCTCAGAGGAAAATATTCTGGAGCGATTCTAGTACTGTCTTACATTGGATAAGGAACAATAATAAAAACTATAAGACATTCGTAGCTAACCGTTTAGGAGAAATTGACGAACTTACGAAAACAAATGAATGGAGATACATTCCTACGAAGTTAAATATAGCCGATGTTGCCACCCGGGAAGCAGTTAATTGCAATTCAATTACTACAGAGTGGCTCAATGGCCCAAAGTTTCTGCAAAGTTCTGAAAATTCGTGGCCCGTAGGATCTTTTATGCCCGAAGTATGCAGTTCGCAGTTGGAGTATGTGAGTACAATACAGGAACATTCTGTAGTAGACTTACCTGTGCCAGATCCAACTAGGTTCTCTTCTTGGCTTCGCCTGCTGAGGACTACCGCTTTAGTATTAATATTTATAAAAAGATGCAGAAAATTTACAAGTAACTGTCAGATCAATTGTACCGATATGGTGGAAGCTGAACGACTTCTGCTCAGATACGCTCAGCTGCAGTCTTTTCCGGAGGAGATAGCTGCAATTAAGAACAGAAAACCGTTAGAACGAGTCAGTAGGCTACACATCTTAGCTCCGTATCTTGACGATTATGGAATTTTGCGCGTTAGTGGCCGTATCGATGCTGCTGCTGATTTATCTCTGGAGATCAAGAGACCTATCATATTAGACGGACGGCATTCCATATCGCGACTAATCGTTAAGCATTACCACAAGAAGGCAGCGCACGGATTAAATGAGATGGTGGTAAACGAGCTAAAACAAAAATATTGGATCTTGAAGCTACGACCCACTGTACGTACCGTCGCATCCAGCTGCATGTTCTGTCGCATGCAAAGGGCTAAGCCAGAACCACCACGAATGGGGGACTTACCTCAGCCCAGATTGGACCACCATCAACGACCATTTACAAATTGTGGCGTTGATCTGTTTGGCCCACTCGATGTGACTATCGGACGAAGAAGAGAAAAGAGGTACGGAGTACTTTTCACTTGCCTCACCGTGCGTGCTGTTCACATAGAGGTGGTCAATTCTTTGACTACGGATTCTCTTATAATGGCATTAAGAAGAATGTCAGCACGTAGAGGTTGGCCCAAACATATCTTCTCTGACAATGGTACTAACCTCAGAGGTGCAAACATGGAGCTCTTAAAATCCATTAAGGAACTGGATGAGGTTGCATTGAAGGATCAAGCACTAAACTTCAGCACAGAATGGACATTTATTCCACCTTCCAGTCCACACTGGGGTGGGGCTTGGGAGCGCCTTATACGGACTGTAAAAAATGCTCTAAAGGTCGTACTCAAGGAACGTGCACCTCGAGAAGAGGTCCTTATAACCTTGTTAGCTGAAGTCGAAAACTTAGTAAACAGTCGACCGCTCACTCATGTCTCCGTAGAGCCAGGAAGTAATGAGAGCTTAACTCCCAACCATTTCCTGCTGGGAACGTCCTCCAATTTGCTTACAATTGGGGTTTATGACGATTCAGACATCTACCTCAGGAAACAGTGGCGTATCGCACAACGCCTGGCGGACAAGTTTTGGGAGCGATGGGTTAAGGAGTTTCTGCCCGAGCTGTTACCAAGACGTAAATGGAATCGCGAACAAAGGTCTTTACAAATTGGGGATCTAGTCCTAGTCGTTAGTCCAAGTGAGCAGCGTGGCATATGGCAGCGCGGAGTGGTCGAAAGGGTTTTTCCTGGCAAAGACGGCAGGACTAGGGTGGTTCAAATAAAGACTCCATCCGGGACACTTGTACGTCCAGCAACACGCGTCGCCAGAATACCCATGGAAGATGAGTGTCGCTGAGGCGACACTGGGGTGGGGCGTGTTGGCGACGCATTGTTTTGTATGTAATATTTATTATAAATTTTATAAAATATGTGTAGGTAAGCTTGTATGTATTTGTAATATTATCCCTAAGGTAGATAAGAGTGAGCGATTCCCGCTAGCATTGTTGGCGGTCAGTCGTCGCCGCAGTCTCCACTGGTGTGCACATACATACGTTTAAGTCGTCCCGCGCTTTGAAGAATCTAACGGTCAATTTGTATTTTCACCGTGTGGCGCAATAAACATTTTATGTAACCAGCACGAGTTCTTGATTTGCTATCGATCCACTTCACTTAGGTGTAGGTATTCAATTGTTTTTGGCTAAAACTGGATACTACTACTTTCGGGTTTGAGGTATAGTTAGCAGTTAGTTAGCACTTAATTCCTTGCTATTAATATTTATCGTATATCTATTATCGTCACTGCGTTGCTAGCGATACGTTTTGCCAGCAACGCAAATTTCAACAGTTCGTTGCGGTGAAAATTTTAGAGCACCTAATTTTTAAACTTCGCATCAAACTAACTGGCTTTTTCTAAATGCAAATTCCTGACTTTGCGTCGCTGGCGAGACACAACTAAATTATGCTGACTGAGCTCCGAACACGTCCAAGAAGTTTGTCCAACAAATCCAATTGTAACAAATGCCAATTGCAACAAATCTCTCAATGTTGGTATCACAATAAATATAGAGAGAGACAAAGCACATTAAATACGTCAAATGCGACTTTAGTCGATTTTTTATTTTATTTTAATTATGTATTTTTATAGAAATCTAAAATGAATTAAACTGCTCAGTTAAGACGTCGTTATTAGACATCCAGCATACAAATTTAACTAATATAAAAACATAGACATAGCCACAATCATTCTTATCTTGTTCTTGGAAAAATAGTTTAGTTTTATAGAAGGAAATAGGTGAATATATCCAATTTTAGAGGAAGAAATAGTAGAATATGTTCAGTTTTACAGGTAGAAATTTGGGAATACTGGATGATGGTTTCGTCAAATTTTCACAGGTTCTTAAAATCAGTTCGAGCTGCAGTTGTCGCTCTCGGATGTCTATTTCGGTTATTCAGGTACACTGCGATAGCAATATGTCATTACTAACTTGCAAACCTACTCTAATTTCTTGGCTTCCAGATATCCTTTATGAATATTATCATCTATTACCATTCCCGTAACTGTTACAGCCTATCAAATGTTTCCCATACAGATTGCCAAGGTTGGAGTTGAAATTGGACTTGCCCAAGTTACCACGCTTGGCTTTTGTGGTTATTAGGAATATGCTGCTGCCCATCTCCTGGTTTGTTTTCCTTTGTCGCTTCTTAAGGTGATACCTCGAAAATTTGGTGGTTTTTCTATTTAACATATTTTTTTAAGTTTTATAGATTACAAACCAAAATTTCGGTATATGAATTTTGACTATATGACCTTGGATTGCATAAAAGGAAAACACGATACCATGTAATTTTCTCGATAGAAAAAAATTGCAAAGTAGGCTCTAATTATTTACATTTCTCGATGACACCACAATATTCTTACGAATAAGTTCATGGAATTATTTTTAAGGCATAGTAAATAATCAAATCTAAGTTTTCATAAACCAGTTTTTTAATCCATAACGAAGTTTTGTTAAAATAAATAAAAATGTTGTTTGGCGCTTACTTAGTTTTTTCCGAGCGCTTGCTCGGTATGGCTATCTCATAATTTGCGTACTATGAAGTCATTGCATCACTTTCATTTTGACACTCCCGCAATCGTCCGTTAGCTTCACCGACAGAGGAATAAACCACGCCCCCAAAACTTCGATTCATTTTCAAGGTATCCTCTTAAGTCATTCATGGGAGAATGTGTATGGGTAGTGGATAGATAGTCTTACACCGTCGCTATACGGTTAATTGTCTATTATATTATTTTTAATGTTTGTCGTTCTGTGGTTTTAAGGTTTTTCATTAATTTTATTCTCGCATTTTGATATAATTATAATAATCTGAGAAATATAAATATATTGTTAATGCATAATAGGATAATACAACAATTTACCCTTGAGAATTTGGCAATATCTTAAATCTAACTAACAATTTCTTTACTAGATCTAGAGAATCTGTATAAGAAATTTGTAAAAGTCGGCACGACTTAAAGCTGCAGTAACAGTTTCTCCGAATAATAATTCTTCTGGATCCGGAAACTGACATGCAGTGCGCTATAAATTATGCCATAGCAAAAGATTAGTGGTACATAATACCTGTGTCGACCTAGCAAATATGTACTATGTACATCCCTTACTTTAGTTATAAAACAACATGTCCACAATAATGTCTTAACAAATAAGCGTTAAATTCATTGAATAAAAACTAATATAAATATCCTTTTCTTCTATAAAATATAGCTTAAATAAATATGGTATTACCTTCGAATTGAAAGGTACTTCTACCGCTTCTGCATCTCACTGGTTTACTTATTTATGGTTTAATGGTTTCATTATATGTATTAATAATTAGCGAAAAAGTGAAAGTACTGACTCAAAACCGGTTTTAATTTCGTTCATTTATAATAAGAAACTACGGTTCCGGTATTCCATTCCAGATAAGAACCTACCGATTTAAGATACTGGTGTCAAAATAACGATTTGCGTTTGGTTTTGGTTTTGTAGTGTTATTTTGAGACTTTCAATTGTAGCAGAATTTTCCTCCATCAACATGGAAACTTATGATGTGTAATCGATAGTTGAAACCTGTGTCTTAAAACAGTTACTTAAATCGGAGCCGTAAGAAAAAGCGGAACCTATATTAGAACTCAATGGCGAACCGTAACAAAATCTGGAACCGGTTTTGAATCCTTATTAAACTGCAAATAATTTAACAAATCGTAGAAGCGTTTACTAGCGATTTAGACGAAGGCGGGCGGTCGCGGGTCGACGGTAGTGACCACGCAACGCGCGGCCGGCCCGGGCCACGTCCAGCCGCTGTCGCTTTGCGCTACCAGTCACACCGGCCCAGTCCATTCCGTTGTCTCCTATGAAACATTATTACTGTCACAATCACTTCAAAAGTTGTTACCTTTTTCTTTTTAAAGCTGAGCGTCAGCGTATTTTTTTCCATCACAGGATACGAATAGATAAGATTTTATGTTAACGCTATGTATCTAGACTAGTTATACTCAACCTGCTGCCCGCCGGGCATTTGTAATTACGTACGGTACGGTACGGTCCATCTGAAGTTCCAAATGTATTATACAACATTTTAAATTTCGCGCCCATCAGAGAACGGGTGATTCGGAACGGGAATGTGAGCTGAGCGCTATCAGCGATTTTGGCGTGAATCGGATCGCAGCATATTATTATTCATCTGTGTGTCACTGTAATATTATCTATACAGTATTGTAACTCGGCCGTATCTTTGAAATAAATGCCTACAGTCGCACGGTACGTAAACATGAGATAGGGCTGCCTGCCTCCAGCATTTTTACATTTGCCTACTTTGTGTTTCCATTTAGTTTTATGATTGTAAATATACTTTTTTATTTACTTATTTACTTTGTGAATTGAATAGGAAGTGTTCAATAAAAATGCTTCAATTAATTTTACTCCAAAGAACACAATTAACTGCAATTACTGGGTGAGATTAGCTTTGAATTGATTATTTATCTATCTATTACCACCGTAACGTAGCGCAGGTACTCGTAGTTGAGTCTCGGGAGCGGTACAGAAGCTTTTTTTTAAAACTACAAAATATGTCTCGATGACATTTAATAACTATTACATTACAATTATGTAATAAAACTAATTCAGTGCAATACTGACTTACTGAACTAAATGATTACGTGACTACGATCAGTTCTATAATGCATTTTATTTAAAATGCAACGGCTTATATAGATGGTCAAAACAATGTACGTTGATTGAAAGTATGACGCTTTTGTTTGACCAACAATAACAATTTTACAGTGGAGTCAGTGTAAGTATGTAACGTAATACTTCTTAACATGTTTTCAGTAACCTAATATTAAAAACTTAATGGACACAATTCGTGAAAACACGTTATTGTCAAATTATAGGTACTTGATAGTATCGTGTTTACGAGTAATTTAATACCAAAAGCTTAGTCAGAGCAATTTGAGACCAACGGGTTGTTATTTTGCATATATTATGTTGCGACAATTTTCAGATTGTATAACTAGATAATATGTAAACAAATTCAAAACAAGTTACGACCAGCAAACAAAGCGAAACGCACAGGTTCGTGGATTCCGCCGCGCGTTCTGTCTCGCTCTTGCAACCACAGACACGGTAATTTTATCTATACAGTATTCCAACTCCATACAAACGGACGAAGCGAGAGCTATGCCTACGCGCCTCGATCTCGGCATGCAGACAGTCGTGACTGCCGCAGTTAGGATTTTGTGGAATATATATATATATATATATATAAAAAATGGAGGAAGTAAATAATAGAATAGAAATAAAGAAATAATAAATCCGAACTTCATTTAAAACCAAACATATAAATTGTAAAATAGCTGCAGGGATCTCTAACCAAGTAAAAATATTCCTTTTCTCCACCTTGTCCATGTTTCACAAAACAATTTTTAATTAAGCTTTATATTAGAATGTGGACTTTTATACTTAAAATTTTAATATTAAAGCATTTAGTACGTCTCAGCCGAGGCGCAAATATTTTTCGGTCGCAAATTTATAAGACCGAAAACGCATTTTTATTGTTATTCAAACATAAACATGATTTTTTAATTAAATCTACCGATCAAAAAACGACACGCATATGAGCTGAGCGCTATCAGCGATTTTGGCGTGAATCGGATCGCAGCCTATTATTAGTCATCTGTGGCACGGTAATATTATATATGTAGTATTGTAACTCGGCCGTATCTTTGAAATAAATGCCTACAATCGCGCGGTACGTAAACTTGCGATAGGGCTGCCTGCCTCCAGCATTTTTACATTTGCCTACTTTGTGTTTCAATTTAGTTTTATGATTGTAAATATACTTCTTTATATAAACAAATATAATAGATACTTTGTGAATTGAATAGGAAGTGTTCAATAAAAATGCGTGTCGTTTTTTGATCGGTAGATTTAATTAAAAAATCATGTTTATGTTTGAATAACAATAAAAATGCGTGTCTCGGTCTTATATTTCGGTTAAATTTGCGACCGAAAAATATTTGCGCCTCGGCTGAGACGTACGAAATGCTTTAATAATAAAATTTTAAGTATAAAAGTCCGCATTCTAATATAAAGGTTAATTAAAAATTGTTTTGTGAAACATGGACAAGGTGGAGAAAAGGAATATTTTTACTTGGTTAGAGATCCCTGCAGCTATTTTACAATTTACATGTTTGGTTTTAAATGAAGTTCGGATTTATTATTTCTTTATTTCTATTCTATTATTTACTTCCTCCATTTTTTATATATATATATATATATATATATATATATATATATATATATTTCCACAAAATCCTAACTGCGGCAGTCACGACTGTCTGCATGCCGAGATCGAGGCGCGTAGGCATAGCTCTCGCTTCGTCCGTTTGTATGGAGTTGGAATACTGTATAGATAAAATTACCGTGTCTGTGGTTGCAAGAGCGAGACAGAACGCGCGGCGGAATCCACGAACCTGTGCGTTTCGCTTTGTTTGCTGGTCGTAACTTGTTTTGAATTTGTTTACATATCTAGTTATACAATCTGAAAATAGTCGCAACATAATATATGCAAAATAACAACCCGTTGGTCTCAAATTGCTCTGACTAAGCTTTTGGTATTAAATTACTCGTAAACACGATACTATCAAGTACCTATAATTTGACAATAACGTGTTTTCACGAATTGTGTCCATTAAGTTTTTAATATTAGGTTACTGAAAACATGTTAAGAAGTATTACGTTACAGACTTACACTGACTCCACTGTAAAATTGTTATTGTTGGTCAAACAAAAGCGTCATACTTTCAGTCAACGGACATTGTTTTGACCATGCCATATAAGCCGTTGCATTTAAAATAAAATGCATTATAGAACTGATCGTAGTCACGTAATCAGTTAAGTAAGTCAGTATTGCACTGAATTAGTTTTAATACATAATTGTAATGTAATAGTTATTAAATGTCATCGAGACATATTTTGTAGTTTTAAAAAAAAAGCTTCTGTACCGCTCCCGAGACTCAACTACGAGTACCTGCGCTACGTTACACTGGTAACAGATAGTTAAATAATCAATTCAAGCTAATCTCACCCAGTAATTGCAGTTAATTATGTTCTTTGCAGTAAAATTAATATTTTATTCTCAAAAAATATCCGTGTGATAAGTGAAAGAGTGTCCCCTAAGTTTAAAAGAAAAATATCTAGTGAAAATAGATTGTTTCAAGATGAGTGGGAAACGGATTATTTTGTTCCGTCAAGCAAAAACAATTCAGCTATTTGTTATACTAGTATATGCCGTGAAAATATTATATTGAAGGAATACAATATTTCGCGTCATTTTACCACAAAACATAAATCTTTCGACGAAACAATTCCTCCTGGTTCTTCCTTGAGAAATGAAAAATTGAGTTTTTAAAGAGATCAATCAAGAGAGAATTAACAACAAAATGTTATGTCTGTGGCATTATCATCATGAAATCTTATCATAAAATTGTTACATTCTTGGTAAGCATATGAAACCATTTACCGATGCAGAAATTCTAAAGGAATGCTTTGTTAGTGCTGCCAATATACTTTTTGATAAATTCAGTAACAAAAAGCAAATTAATACTATCTGATAAAAAAAAACTGCAGTTCTGTGATTCAACCTGTATGAGGCGTATTGAAGACATTTCTAAACTTATTTGCGATGATAAATGATGCAATTTTTTTAGCTTGACATTCGAATCCAGCACCGACATTTCAGCAACATCGCAATGCTCGGTGTTTATTATAGCTCCTCTACACGATGTGCCATAGCGATGGCCCACTGTCGGTGTCGGTTTTTCCGCCGCACATCAAAGGTCGACGCGCTCGACGGTTGAGTGTGGACATTCGTGATTTGTTTATTTATATATAATATATATTGTTTATAATATTAATTAACGAATTAAAAATGACGAATACGTGGTCTCATAATGAAGTTATAACATGTTAATCATAGAGCTACTAAATCAGAACATATTATACATAATTAATTTTTTATTTATTTATTTTTATTAAATAAATAATTAATTACTAATTATTAATTATAATTAGATATATTGCCGCAGAGGCTAATTCTTCCACGTCTATCTCGAAAAACGTTTCGATAACAACTGGATGTCGCCATCGTGTAATTACGTTTCGACCATCGCATGGCCATCTCGCTGGGCCAGTGCTGGCCTATCGTGTAGAGGAGCTATTAGATATTATATAGAAAACAATTTAAATTCAGGAAATTTTTTTGGAATTCCCAGTAATGAAAGTTAAAACCCGAGGCACAGATTACCTTGATACTGTTGCGCGCCATAATTAATGCCCGGTATGTGGCGGGTAATTATTAGCGCCATCTAGTATCAAGTAGCAGAAATAGGAGCGTCAAGATCTTTCTACAACTTTCCCACTAGCGCCGTCTAGTGTCGAGTGGCGAGGGCTTTCTGGAGGATTCTTTGCTAGAACTTTCGGCATTCTAGAACATTCTAAATGTTTTCGATGGAAAAGGTCCTATATAAAGTACTATTACAGAAAAACTCAATAATCTCAATCGGAATTTGCAAGGTGAAAATAATATGGTCTTCAATATGGCATATAAAGTGTTTGTATATGAGGAAAAGCTAAGCATTTATCATGAAGGAATACAGAACGAACGGCTGCAAAATTTTCAAACTATGATAAAAGCTACAGCGGACAGTACCAACATTTCGGTAGAAAACTGTTCCATAATTTCAAATTATATAACGGCACTTTTTAACGAATTTCGAAAAAGGATTGAAGATTTAAGAAAAATAAAAAAATGTTTGTTACTTGTAGAAAATCCATGGCATTTAAAAACAACGACTATCTCAGAGTTGGCTTCAGTTTTAAATTACTCAGAGTTGTTTGATGAATTCATCGATTTTAAAAACGACACTAGAAAGTTAAGAAAGTCTAGAAGTTCTGTTTAAAGAAAAAAGGGCAAACAGGGAGTATGTGGAATTTTGGAGTATTGTTCCCCAAAAATATAAAAGCGTCCAAAGATGTGCCGAAATACTACTAAAATTCTTTGGGTGTGCGAATCGTCTTTTTCAAAAATGAAATACTCAAAGAACGTGTACAGAAACAAACTTACGGATTCTCTTTGGGATTATGTCATAAGGATATCATGTAGCAACAAGCCAGATCTTGAAAAAGTTTTAAAAAAGTGTTAATAGTATCAAAAATTGCATTAAAACTTTTGTTAAAACTTCTTTTTTCATTAATAAAGTCAATAAATCGTTAACTTGGAATTACGTTTTAATTAAGACCTAAATAATTTTTGCTTTGCTTTGCGGCCATGTTTGTGGCCCTATAAAAAAGGTAGAGTATAGCTGGTCTAGACAGTAAGATTAGGTAGTTAGGTAGTCTCATCAAATTACTTGGGTGGTCTGAAAAGTTTCCGACCAAAAAGTTCCGAACAACGATGCAAGAAATTTTTTCTTAAAATTTATTATTTTTCTACATAGTCTCTTAGAATGGTAATACAACTTGGAAAAGTGTGCAGCACTTTTCCAAATGGTGCTCCCATTCTAACCAGTCCAAATAATAAGTACTCGGCGTTTTTCTCTGCAAAATAATTGTTCACCAAGGTGATTGCCTCCTCTTTTGATGAAAATCTCTGTCCTTCGAGCGCAATTTTTAGATGAGAGAACAAAAGGAAGTCGCTTGGGGCTAGATCTGGTGACTAAGGTGGATGGTCAAGCAGTTCAAACTGTAATTCGTAGATTTTCGCCATGGCAACCGCTTAGGTGTAAGACGGCGCGTTGTCATGGTAAAACAGGATTTTCTTTTTCTGCAAATGTGGTCAAGTAATGATGCGTAGTAAGCTCCTGTAATATTTTTTCCTTTTTAAAGATAATCGATTAAGATAACTGCATGACTATCCCAAATAACAGTCACCATCACTCTCACAGCCGAAAAAACAGTTTTTGTCTTTTTGAAGTCGATTTCTCTCTGCATTCCACTGGTTTGACTGTATTTTTGTTTCGGGCGTATGATTATGTATCCAAGTTTCATCTACAGTATCAATCGGATTTATTGCGCCTAAACTGCGCCAACAGGAGCGTTGGAAATGTTCATTCGAACACGTTTTTGGCCTAATGTGACTAAGCTCGGCACATAACGCGCTGACAGCTTTCTCATGCCTAAATCTTGATTCAATATGTGACAAACACGTTCTTTGACCATTTTAAACAATACATTTTCAATTTAATTTGACGGGCATCTAGCACCATTTAGTGAACTTTAGCGATGTTATCGTCCGTAGCTTTGTAGTTTTTGGACGTCCCGAACGTTTATCGTCTTTAAGCTCACACAACCACGTTAAACTCAGCTGCCTAAAATTTCACTGTGGTAAATGAGTCCCTATTAACAAAGTCCAACTCAGCTTTGATTTGCGTAGTCGTATCACCTTTCAAAAACAAAAATTTAATGACAGCCTATTACTATTTTTTTCTATTTTCACATAAATACTCACGCAAACGGTCAAACGACTGTCAAATAACAACTACACGTCCAAAATGGCTGAAATTTGGTGTGTAACTTTCAAAAGATGCACAACTACATTCACTATCTTTTAGTGACGAGTGCTGCCATCTTCACGTTGAGGTCGGAAGCTTTTCAGACCACCCTGGTTGGTACATTTGTCTTTTTTTGTACTAATGGCTTAACGAAACGTACCTGAGAGTTAGCGTTGTTATGCACTGGACTGTGCGAAGTTGGTGCCTGGCTACTGAAATAGCCACCGGGCCGTGGTCGCAGATGTCTGTTGTGCATCTCCATTTGCACGATCTTCATAAATTCTATCTGTGCTGCGAGTTTTTGTACTTCTTCCTGAAAGTAAAAGATGATAATGATCACGTCATTAAGATATCATCTTCCTCATTATCGGCCTGTACATTGTCCAGAGCTGGATATGGATTTCTCCGTTAGTAGTATAGTAGTAGCAGTTGCTGTAGTGATCACTCTTAGCAGAACGTCCACAGAACTAGACGTCTCCCAACTTGTCGTCGGCTTTGGTTTTTTCATGTAATATAAATTCAAGATGTTATTATGTAGTCATATAGGTACCTAGATGACTACATAATAACATCTCGAATTTTTGAAATTTTGAAACCCACAAATTCAGGAATTATGTTAAAGCAAACTAATTTTTGATTTGATTTCACTATTGCACGCGCCGCTTCCTAGCTACGCTCGGTCTGTGTAAGATGCGTATATAAGCTTTGTTTGCTCCTAGGCTATGTTAGTTCTTTAAAAGTACCCTGTTAATTGTACTTTGTTTGTTCTTAGAAATAAAAATTGCTAAAAATGTATAATTTCAATTGAATGTGTTTAAGTGAAATTGATTCGATATATTAGTGTACGCCTAGGATAAGACTATTATTTGTTTGTATGTATTTAAACTTTTTCATGTAAGTGAATTGTTGTAAAATCTTATGAGAAATAAAGATATCTCGAACCTTAATTTTACGGATTTTGTCGCGTTTAATTTTGATAAACTCCATGACGTTTCGGGTAATTTTTAGCACTCATGGTCACGGCCGAAGTAATACATTGAAGCATTATAACGGCCGATTTACAGCATTTCTGTATCATTTTCGCATTTTGGGTTAGTTCTGTGGAAGCATTACAAACGTTTATACTGCTACTTTAATGCTTATTTGGGCACAGATTATACGGTTTTAGATTCTAAATAGGTTCAAAATAGTTGTTTAATTGCATTACAGAAGCATTAAACTGGCAATATTATTGATAATGAAGATGTTGATTGCACAACAAAAGCATTAGGCCAGTGTTAGAATGTAGTAAAATAGAATGATTGAAGCTATTTAAATGTTCACAGTTAGGACTTAAATAAACCCTACATTATTGCAAAAACATACCCATTACGCGATATTAAAGATACAATACAATCAACCCTGAAATTGATCTACTTAATTTGTTTGTACTTAATTTGGACGAAGGAAGGCGGTCCAAACTAAATGAGTGACACGACCATATTTGTTTGCACAAAACATAATTTGTAAAGTTTGTGACTGTTATTATTTCATGCCTTCAAGTATTACTATGCATTGTAGTTTACTGTAAAAGTTTCATTGCAAATTTTCACGCACCTTTGCTATTTTATGGTTTTAATATCAAATGTTATATAACGCAATGTGAAATAACCAAAACAATTGTGTGTTTCTAGTATATGCTGAATTTTGCATAATTAACATAATAATATTGTTTGGGCAGTATTAAATTAAGCTATATCATTATTAATAGATCTATTGCTTTTATAAATAGATCCGAATGATAATATTTTGGGTTATAAAGTATTTACAAAATGGTGTCGGGTATAGCAGCTTGGTGAGCCTTTAAAAAGACTTATCAATGCCGCCAGCAGTATAAATACTCACATGTGAACAATTATTAAGCCAAAGGCCAGATCTATATGGGTTCATCGGTATACTAGTAGACTTTATGTAGACTGAAATAGTGCCATTACTTAAACGCTACGCTAAAAACGATATGATAAACAAAAGATGTGTATAATATGTTTTTTCTCCACAATATGGCCGGCAAATGGTTTCACGAATACATTAAAATGAATGTATTTACAGCTTTACGCATTATAATAATTCACGTGTATTTGATTCAAATGCTTAGCTTTATAACAGAACTCAGTTGATCATTAAAAATGCAAGTATTAAATTGATTCACGTTTATGCTGTTTAGCAGTGCTATTACACAAAAAAGGGAATTAAAACAGCTAAAAGCTATGTAACAGTGCATTATAATAGTACAAGTTTATGCTATTAAGCAGCTTTAGGCATTGTCTTACAAATTAAAAGTGTTATTGTAGAACCTAAGGCATAAAACAGCTGAAAGCTGTACATCTGTGTTGTGGAAAAGTGTGGAAAAGACCACCTTCTCCGTTAGCCAAGAGATTCAAGGTGCCTGCGTCCACTGGAAAAATAATGACTCTCTGTCTTCTGGAATGTGAAAGGTATAATAATGATCGACTATTTAAGTAAAGTAGAGACAATAACCGGAGATTATTACGCATCATTAATCGAAAAACTACGCGAAGAACTGAAGAATAAACTTCGAAGAAAATTGCGTGTTGGAGTGCTTTTTCATCATGATAATGCCCATCGATCTCATGTTGCAGGCGCTGCAATCTGAACTGCTGGGTTTCAGTTGATGCAGCACTCGTCATATTCTCCGGACCTGGCTCCGAGTGATTTTTACCTTTTTTACTCACCTGAACCTGTATTTGCGATGAAATTCGACGGTGACGATGAGGTGATGTCTGGTGTAGAGGGCTTTTTCGAGTCCCAGGATCGAGTCTTTTTTTTTGAAGGGAATTAACCAACTTGCAAACCACTATTCAAGGTGTTTTAGCATAAAAGGCGATTACGTTAAAAATAAATATAATTTACATATAACTATCCGGAATTACAACAACTTATGATCAACTTAGTATAGAAGAACTAACCGGATTATACATACAATAGCAATTTTTTTAAACGAAACTTCAGTCAAAAAAATGTGACGTTCCTTAAATTATAACTGTTTAAGCCTAATTTGAATTCTTATTATTAGTTATACATTGATAACGCTTGAGTCTGCCAATGTTTATTGTTTGCTCTGGTACGAGTGTGCTTGATTGGTTGGGTAAAACATCGCTGGTTCTTGATTTGAGTATGCGGGTATATTTGGCTGATTCCATGTGCTCTGAACTCAGCAAGTTATACCGTTATATGGGAGACATCGTGCACGTCTTGAGAATATCTTCTGCTCAAAAACTACTTTTAGGATTTGCGTGTTTTCTTTTCCCCGTTGGCTTTGACCCATGGTCACGGGGGACTGAGATGACTGACGTCCTGATGTCATTGTTAAACCCGGAGTACCTTCAGCTTTTTTAATTATTGTTTATTGTCCGATCTATGCAAAATGAACTGACTATGTCTTGAGGTCTTGCAGTGGTATGCTTGGGTTTAGTTTTAATTTTATTGATTATAGGATCCCAAGCAGAAACGTCGGGAATTAAAAATAAAAGTAATTAAAAGCAAAAATAAACGCGATAAAATCCGTAAAAGTAGTCTTAATCATGTGTAGTGTTCGCGTAAATATAAGAAATCATTATCTTCTGCTCAGTTCGTAGGTTCCGTCGGTATTTGGAAGTTTTCATCATCACCTTGGGTTTGTGTTGACTTTAACTTAAAATATTAAAATAATGATTTCATTTACGTCACCCGTATTAGGAAACACTACACTAGCGTTACTATTCACGCCAATCTGCGTGTAAAACGTGGCGATTATGGTAAACCCCTCTTGCAACGATAGAGGCACATGGCTGGCAGTTACCTTTATAGGCTGAAGAAGGAAGATAAGAAGAAAGCAAAAACTGCTGTCAAAAGTGTAGCAAACCTTTAATTCTTCGTTCTCTTGGTACAAATCCGGCGGTTCGTCAGGCACAAGACCAATACCGTTGAGTGAAGAGGAAGCGGGGACTCCCCGAGCTCGAGCGCGGCTGTCCCACTTGTCCCCCGTGCCGCGCACTACACGCAACACCTGAAGAACCGTAACATTCACTATGAAGTATGTTTTCAACTTTTCGTAGTTTAAAGGTAATAAATCCGAATTGACTGGTAGAATGAGAAACTAGCCCATGCCGTTGCCGCTGACCTGTAGTAGTTTTTTTAAACCTTCTAATATTAAAATTTTAATCTATGTTGGTTTGGATGTTTAATGTTGATCCTTTAATTACGTACGATCGGCTGGTCGTATTCTATTTAAATTTGGCATTGAAGTCTGCTATGCCGTAGACGTAGAACGGGATAAACAATACATTTATTATAAAAAATATTACTAAAGTTTAGGCAGGTGCATTACTAAAGGTAAATAAAGTGAGATAATGATAATGTGCAACATATTTAAGAAAAACGTTAAGTAACCTTTTAACTTACCTTTGGAAGAAATACTAATAATACGGTAGTTGAAGTGGACAGTTGAGTTCTTATAAAGCCAAGAAGATATTTGATATCAGGGCCGGCTCGCGGCAATATTAATAAACTGAAAAGAAAATAATTCGCTATACAATCACGTTATTTGTTATTTGTGCCTTGGTTAAAAAAAACAGTCTTATATACATATAATTTATTTAAGTTTCATTAAGTACATATAAATCTTATATAAAGTAATGTAAAGAAATTTATAAATTTATCTTATATGTTACACTAATGAGTGAGGCAACCAGTCGTTCTGGATTATCAGGAAATAGTCTGGTTATAGTTTAATAATTATTAAAATCCATTAAATCTGCTTGTAATATCGATAAACCGATAAAATAAAATAAGATAAATAAAGTTTCGAACAAAACTTTTCTGATTTGCAACCTACTTATACAAAAAAGGTCCTGACACTGTCTGTTATTGTTTTAGTGCAAAATTATTTGTTTATATGTTTTATATGTTTTTTTTTACTTATTTAATTTAACACCATTAAAATATCAATTAGAAATTTTTAAGTGAAATTAATAAATCTTAAATTTTTAAAACCATTTTCTCATATCGTACATAGTTTTCAAAGTAAGAACTAAGTTTAAAGTGGTTTTTTGATAATTGAACTAAGTAATCTAAGACCACTGTTATAGATCTGTAGATGATTGATGCTGTTTTTGCTTAAGTACTACTCTGACAAATTAGCTGGTAAAAGCTAGAGATTGATAAAATAAGATAGCCGGCATAAAGTCTTCTGGATATAATAGTGAACATCGACAAAATTATCATTTTTCAAATTGTAGCTGTAGGCGCTTATTTTATATTTTTGTATACAATTATTCCTGAGTGATATTCCTACTGTAAAGAGTTTGAGTTTGATGTAAAGTGATAATTCTTCATCATCACCTTGTTTATCTAAAATCAACTCTTCTGAGTTCACACTAATCACACAACCTGACGGATCAAACTTTGAGTGCTCTTCACAAGCGTTTCGTGATAAACCTAATGAATTTATCAAAGTTAGTTTAGTATCTCGTTTATTAGTTAAATATCGGAATGAACAAGGTTCATCAGATTCTATTTGCATTGAAAAACATTAGACAGCACTTTGTAAAAGAAATTTAAATTTTTCCTGAAACCAATTTCAAATTTAGTTGTATCATAAATGGCTTAGTAAAACTTACTATATAAATTAATAGGAGAACTTACTGAAATGCAATCATTAATGAATTAACAGTAAATATGTTGTAGATAGCGATGGATATGAGGCGAGCTTCGTTATATAAACTCTCAGCGTGTCTGACACGGTAGCATACTCTCACACCCCACAGTAGAAACAGGATTTCTCCTACACAAAATAAAATTACAATTCAAGTTAAAATATTATTATGAACAAACATTTATAATTATGATTAAGTTAAGTACAAACAGTTCTAATTTTTCGCAACTCTGCACAGGCTTGTTTTAATTCTATGAAGGTAACAGATCAGAGAAGTAGCTCCACTCGGCTCAAGTTGGGGCTTTATTTATCATTTCTCCGATTTGTTTATTTCTCAAGGATACGGGTTTCGAAACAAGTTTGCAATGAAATTTATTATAGTGCATAATAAAATGAATAAAACTTTTTACCTATAGCTAAACTGTGGTCCCACCAGTTGTACGTGCATTGCTTGAATTTTAATCCTAAGTCGTCGGTTATCTGCAAACAAATCACCTTGATGATCTTTTACTATTTGTTAAATAGTAATTAATTTGTTAACTTTAATATGCTTGATATAATTAGGTCTAAGTTAGAATAATCCAAAACACAAATGGTTAGAAAATGAGTATAGTTTATGCTATTTATTTTCTCTCTAAATCAACTGACCGAAAGTTTGGAAAAAGCTTTTTCAATGATTTTATTTATGAATTTTAATTTTTGATTTAACATCTCGAAATGGGAAAGAGATTGGAGCAGAAGGTTCTGTTATAAATCTAGTTATGTGAAAATAACTGAACCCACTAGATGTCTAAAGTGAGATAGATGACTACCTAAACTCCCTTTTTCGCCTCTCCAATATCATTTCACAAAAATGTTTTGTGGCTGCTTTTATACATTTTAGCATCAATTAAGTGATTAGGTTTACTTGAACGTAAATTCTCATTTATTAATGAATGAATGAATAAATTTGTTTTAAAACTCGATATTGCGACACTTGTAGGTATAGATTGGATAGTTACTATGTTGGATAATTTTTGCGCATTGGGATGGGACTCATTGTTATAGAAATAATCTTGCGAATTATCTGGCACTTTCGCGAGCTCAAGTAAAGGATCTTTTCCGTGTTTTCTGAGTAAATATTACGCTACGTAATACATAAATTGTTTTTCTAGATTGTACCTATTGTATTGTGTTTTGTGTCCCTGATCTCTGACTCTGTGAATTAATCGTAAATTTTTATATCGATACTGATGAATTTGGACACAAAAGTGCTTTACACATATACTTATGGCATTATGTTATATAACCTTAGTAATAAAACCTTAGGAGGTTCTCTTCGTTCCAGGAGAGTATTATTTGTTTTTGTTCTCCTTATATGAAAAAAGTAGAAGTCAGAGTATTTTTATATCATCGCCATGGGTTTTAAATTGTAACCCAGCTGGACCCAACATATTATGTGAAAAAACAAAAAAAAAAGAACTGGTTATCGGGCCCGGTTTATTTGTCATCGCCCCAATAACTGTTACTATGTATAAGAAGCTTGAGTCCTTTTGTAATGAGCTGTTGATTATATTTTACTATATGGTTAAGAACGCAAGATTTTTTTTCGCATCACTTGTGGCATTATAATTGAATGCTGTTGACTGAATACAAACTGATTCGATCTAGAAAAAGCTTCTCTGAGATATTGAAGCTTGACCGATTTCTTTATAGCTTTGATTTTGATAACTAGCGACTTGCTCTGCTAAATTGTAATATGTAAATATCTCAGACTTCACTTATAACACCCATTTTAACACTAGTATTGATTGGATATGTTGAAGGTAACGACGTACATTTATCCAGCGAATTCGGTAGCATTTGACTGTAAGGAAATTGTCATTATTGTGGAAAATATTCCAGAAAGATATCTTTCGCCTTATTGTATAATATGCAGATACTCACAACTTCAGCGTCTGGCGGTGAAGAGAGCGTCCATGTACACAAATACACTAGCATTATAAGTAGTATCGGTGCCATCCACTGTAGTAACTGTTTGTCAGTCAGCTTTAACTTGTGTGCGGACTTAACTCGATATGTGAGAGAAACTCTGCAATTTATTATATATTTTTTAAGAATTACTCTAAGTGGTTACGTACTACGTAGCTCATATAAAAACACTGTGCGACCCAAAAGAACTAACACATAAAAACAAGAAAAAAAAAGAAATTAGAACATCGTATTACCATTGCCATTACAGTCTATCAAAAGCCCATTGTTTCGATCATAGGCCTCTCCCATAGGGAATATTTAGCGTAACTACGCTAATGTCCCCCCCCCCCCAGGGCAACTGCTTCGCTTGGTAAGCGGGTTGGCAACCACTGTTATTTTTTTATAGGATAGGGTGACAAAGGAGCACACAGTCCACCTGATGGTAAGTGGTCGCTGTGGCCCATAGACATCTACATCTATCCTCGATTACGAATCAAAATGCAGATGCGTTGTCATCCGTGAGGACTTGGGGACCTCGTTGCCAGTAAAAAAGGGTTTTCGGTTCTCAACACTCACCATACGCAACACAGCAGCATTAAGCTACTATTTGACGCTGGTGTTCCGTGAGAGCGTGGACCTTCCCCGGTCGAGCCGACCCATTCGGGCTACAACTGTACTACTAATATAACTGCATGGATCTACCACGTAAAATTTTTAGTTGTTATCAGGAAGATACAGCTGTCCATATCCTGTTTCATTTTACCTTTGTTCTTACGACACATAGGATGATAGTATAGTAAGTGAGGGTTATATGGTCATCCGGTTAATATGGTCACTTTCTTATTGGGTACTCAAAACTACAGCCTTGTTTGTATAGACACGGTAATATCTTAATATATATAAATTACGTGTCACGTTGTTTGTCCGCGATGGACTCCTAAACTACTTAACCGATTTTAATCAAATTTGCACACCGTGTGCAGTTTGGACCAACTTGAGAGATAGGATAGTTTTTTTGCCTATGAGTGACCCACAATTTTTTTTTGCTAATTTAAGGATTTTTAATAGGACATGACAAAGGGTCGTCGAAAAGGGCAGAACAACGTCTGCCTGGTAAGCTAGTATTATCTATATAAAATTACCGTGGTATAGATGACTTTGTGATACGGTAGCTTTTCATCGGTCAATCAAATAATAAAGGGTCAAAAGGGCGTTGCTTTATCGACGCCATTTTGACATTTGATATTATTGTAAATATTTTTGTCAATTTTAGTATGGTGCAGTGTAGTTATTTTTTTTAATTAGATTTTTCGAAGTGTTACTAATTATTGCCAAGGCTTGTTTGCTATATTTTTTCTTTAAATTAGAGTATCCGACTTAGTGTTTTTGTCTCTGTCCTTCTCCTAGTTTTGGTTTTATAGGTGACAAAACTTAAGGTAACAATATAACCCTTACGTACCTTAGTCAATATTTTTACACCGCCACTGAACGGTGAAACACTATTAAAATATGCACTACTCTAAGCTCAAAATGTTTATTCATTGAATCCACCATCAGGTAGACTGCAAGTTCGTCTGCGAGTAAAATTTTAGCTCTGTACCTGTAAACGCAGCATTTAGCGTCACCAAATGGAAGAATAGTAAATCAGCCATATGAAGGGTAAACCTTTTCCTACCTCCTAGTGGACTAAGTCAAATAGCCGACTGTGAATCTTGACAAGACTCATACTCGAAAACGTCCGTATGGCTACTAAAAACGGTGTGCAGGCCAAGGCAATATTAAAAAGGGTTATTTTTTAATCATGATTATTGTAACTCAGGGCTAGGGCATCACTCAATCTAGTAAAAGATCGCCCTAACACCGCTTACCGGTACTTTGCTGCCACTTTACTACCTTTCTTTATTTCAATAGCCGTAGTTAAATAAAGACGTTCTATTCTATTTCACAGCCCTGAATAACCTACCTCCATGTTTTCATAAGTAGGGCTGTGTAAGTGATACAAAATCCCATGTGACGAGTCCACTTTGTGGCAATACAGGAGTATCTGTCAAGAACTGGAAATATAGCTGCCATCTGTAAATAAAGCAATAATTTGTTTTACTCCTATTTTACGCAGTGGATAAGTGATTTGTTGTGGTGTACCGCGACCGCAGATTCGAATCCTACGATGAACAAGTGTTTGTATAAACTAAGTAGAAATAATTTTTCTGAGCCACTATGTTCGTTCATGTGAAATTTATATATGTAAAAGGCCTTAACATTAACAGGAGAAGATAAAGAGTAATTTAAAAAAAATAAAGATAATTTATTTTTCTGACAAAAATATCATATATCGCTTAAAGAAAAACAATAAACCATCGATAGTTCTAAATTTGTCTTATTTTATACATCTTTTGTAGTGTTATTTAATAGGTACCACTTTTAAATCACTACATAACTTGTCAATGAAACGAAATCATTGTTTTTTTAAATTAATTCAGATATTATGGAATATGGATACAGGTACCTAAATTATTTAAATAAATTTTATCACATTATATGAATTATAACTTACTTCCATGTACATAATGGCGCATCCTAATAATGTTATAGAGAGAAATACAGGGCTGGCTACACGAAACACTTTAACACGACGATGATGGCGCGTGTAAATTGTAAGGCATACTGTCAACCCTGCACAAGATACTGATATAACCAGCAATGATATCCTGTAATTTACAGAAAGAAATATTAGTAGTAATAATAGTACTAACTAGATCTGTATAATTAGTCCCATTTGATATAAAACATAGCATGCAGTATAAAAATGAATAAATCCAATATAGATTCAGTTACTTTTTATTTTCTAAGACATATATTTACTTAGTTTTTTATGTATACCTAATTATTTATAAAATGAATTTTTACTATTCATATACCTACAATACAATAGGTAATTAATTGCCTAAATATGCGTGCTCAGATCTTGTATTTTACTGGTTCTGTATAAACCCTTTAGATCGGGAACACAGCAGTGCAAACACTGCTATATGACTGCAGAAATAAGTAAAAGAAATAGGAAATAGGTAGAAATAAGCTGTCATATTTTGTATAGAAGTTAAAGTGAAAAACGAGCTACACAGTTCACTTATTGGTGGGTTGATACTGCGCCCCACAGACACCTTATATCTATCCTGCATTAAAAATCAAAATGCTTAATCATTGTTACCCCTGAACTCTGAGAAACAGAAACAGAAACTTTTTTATTCAATGTAGATTATAAACAATACTTATTGAAAGTTAATTTTTTTCATTTACCACTGGTTCGCAAAAAAAAAACCTCTGTCCTGGGAAGAACCAGCAAGAAACCCAGCGGGACTATTTCTTTTTCAAATAATAGCTTACAATCATGTTTACAATTAAGGGGAACAAAACATAATTAGTCAAATGGCTTGGGAGCGATCCTTCAGGGGTTATGGAAAATATTGCATCATTAATTTTAAATATATTATGGTATAAGTTGAGGATGTATTGTTAGTCATTATGTTAGACGAAAACACGATTTCGTAAAATTTTCTCGATAGAAAAAAAAATCCAAAGTTACCTCCAAAATAAACAATAAACCGCTGTTATTCATAAAATACTTTAAATAAGATCATGAAACTTTGCATACTAACTGAACTAACTATAAAGCAGTGCTTATGTTATTTACTTTTTTTAAAATACCATTATTTTCACTGTAAAAAGAAATTACCTAAACTATCGGCGTCTTGAGCTTGATTCCTGTCGTTCCGTTAGTATCGCTTAGGCTTTTAAAGGGAGAATTTGTGTCGCTTACGATCAGAATATACATTACGCAACAGTACGACGTAAAATTAAAATGGGAAATAACCGTGATAAAAATAAGTAGCGGCTGGCTTGGCTTTAAGAAACAGGCATAAATATGATAAACCTAATGAAATAAGTGTCTAACGACCTTTCTATTTACAGTATTAGTGATTACAAATATTTCGGTACATAGCATACGACGCGCGGGGAAGTGGGGGCGAAATTAGAATTTGAGCTGACTTACTCTAACCTCTTAACAACACAAAACAAATTAGAAATGACTTGGGAGCGATCACCCTTCCCAGGGGTTATTATCATCCATAAATTCCTTAATATATTATTTTAGAACTAAGATGGAATGCCTTGTTAGTCATAAAAAGGGCCTAATTAATTAATCCAGTATCTTAGGATTAATTTATTCAGTTTGTGTGCTCAGACCAGAGTTGCCGTTTCAGCGCATTTGGCGCCAGATCTGGTGCATTTCTAGGGTCTATAGCGCTTTTTTTTAAATATCTATGTGCTAAAATATCTATTCTACTAGTCTACTAGTTTTTTATTAAAAAAATTTTTTTACTGGCTTACGGCTCTTTCTAGCTTTGCTTTCGGAATCTTTATTTTTATATACTTTTTTTTCACAATATGCTGATGCGTCACATTGCGAAGCCCTTGGGAGATTTTGACGACAGCTCAACCCAGCGGAAAGTTGATGACGACAGCCACTCAAGTTCATAAGGAGCCCAAGCGATCAAAACAACTTGAGGTTTATATCGACATTAAAGCCCTTATTTCGTCATTTTCTTTAATAGTTTACGCGCGCGGACACTTAATTAACAAAATAGCATCACTTTTACGCCGCCGCTATTTTATACGCGCTGGCGGTTTAGTTCATGCTATTGTATCTTCTAAGAAATTTCATTGATGGTTAAGCTACCGCCATCTAGTCATTGCTTTATGAAACACTTAATACTTTTTAATTTATAGCTGCTCTGGAATCTATAATTTTTAGCTACATTACTTAAATCAATCAAGATAGTGTGGCCGCCACAAAAAATTAAGCATTATAAATAATAATTCTAATGATAGGTATAAAGGAAATACTAAAAAGGAAATCATATTCTATAAAGCTATTATTTACGGTATTTTATCGCGTTTAATTACTTTAATTTATTTTTCCCATGGTCACGGAGTCCCCCCCGTGACCATGGGCGCTGTAAAGCACCCGAAACGTCGGGATAATAATAAAAATAAATTAAAGTAATTAAACGCGATAAAATCCGTAAATAATAGTTTTATTCAATGTGTAGTGTTCGCGTAAATTTAAGAAATCATTAAGGAAATCATATTCTATAAAGCAAGTTATTGTTATATGTTATTTTATTTATTAACTACATAAATATATCATCATCATTACAGCCCTTCACAAGTCTACTGCTGAACATAGGCCTCCCCTCAAGGTAGGTATGCCACAAAGCACGGTCCTGAGCCACCAGCATCCATCGACTTCCTGCATGTCTTACCAGGTCGTCACTCCATCTAGTGGGAGGTCGCTCTACACTTTGCCTAACGATACAAGGCTGCCACTCGAGAACTTTTTTCCCGCATCGGTTGTCCGTTCTTCGAGATATATGGCCGGCTCATTGCCACTTCAGCTTACTAATCGGTTGTTCCATGTCGTTCACTCTGGTTCTGTTGCGGATATCCTCATTTCTAAGTTTACCACGCAGAGAAACCCCGAGAATAGCCATCTCCATGGCTTGCTGAGTGACTTTGAGCGTCCCCATACGGTCAGCACTGAAGGACCACGTCTCAATTCCGTAGGTCATCACTGGCAACACGCACTGGTTGTACAGTCTCGTTTTCAGGTTTTGAGGTGTACCTGACGAGAAGACATGTCGTAAAATCTCGGAAGTTGGACTTACCTAGTGAGACTATTTGTCCCAGGTAAACATACTCGTCAACAACTTCGAGCTTAGTGCTCCCAAACAACTACCGGCATAGGTGTGACATGGATGTTACACATGATCTTCGTTTTGTCCATGTTCATCTTAAGACCTATCCGTTGGGAGACATTATTGAGGTTATTAAGTATAGTGCTTAGGTCTTCCAGCGATTCTGCCATAAGGACTATATCGTCGGCAGATCGAAGGTAAGTGATATACTCGCCATTGATGTTAATACCGTATCCTTTCCAGCCCAGTAGCTTGAAAACGTCTTCCAATGCAGCGGTGAAGAAAAGATATATCGGTGTTACTAAATTAATTAATTTTGTCTTCAAAAATAATAAATAATAAGAAATCCCTTCATAGTTCTAAATTCAAGTTAGTTTATATTTGCTACATACATGAGGTTTATATTATAAGGAGTAATAGAAAAAAATAGAAGTTTAAAATTTGTTTCATTAGGCAATACTGAATCTTAAATTTGATTCAATGTGAAATAAAAAATTATTTAAGAAATATGTCCGCCGGATTGTGCATGTCCTTATTTCTTGTTATTTCGTATTTTTTGAATGTTTGATAAAAATCAAATACGTAATGTTGCTTTTGTATAGCACAAAATATAGGGCTCAAGAATGTGCTTTAAAGTAGATTTTGTAATTGGTGCAGTGACAAATATAATAAAAGACATAAAATAATATGTTAATTTCAACCCTGTAATTTTTTATGATGGTTTATAGTAAGTTACTTTCTACATTATGTGCAGACAACATGGAATTTGATAACATTTCACGTTCTGATGTTATTTTATTTTCAAAATATTTTGTTTAAAATTGTGAAATAAATATGTTAACAATACTTATCTTTCTTTTTTTTTAAGTCCTGGAATTTATTGACAGTATTTATGCCGATTTCATATAAATAGTGTTATTTATAGAAATCTAAACACTTAATAAAAATAACAATATGAAAGGAGTAGTATAGAGGTATAATATATATATATATATATATATATATATATATATATATATATATATATATATATATATATATAAATTATATAATTATAATATCTATCTAGTTATACATACATGACATAAACACTCACGCCTGTCACCCAGAGGCGTAGGCAGAGACTTCGGACTTCCATTTGGCACGATCCTGACATACCTCTTTCGCCTCCTTTACATCCATATATCTACGCATACATGCTCGTCGGTTAAGGGTACTTCTAACGTGGCCCATTTTCAAAATATCGCCAAGGGAAACTTTTTTCTAGGGCGTCCCTTCCCGACTCGGCCGTTCACATCTGCCATATAATTTTGCTTTGTCACTCTTTCCTCATTCATTCTTTCTACATGACCAAACCACCGAACCATTCCTTTCTTAATCCTGGTCACAACATCATCTTGCATACCACATTTATCTCTTATCACGCAATTTCTCATCCTGTCATTCAGATTCAACCCCAGCATACCCCTTAAAGACCCCATTTCTACAGCATTTATTCTACTTTCGTGCTTCTTCTGCCACACTGATACATTAAAGTAGGGACTAACACAGCATTATGAATTACCATACGTGCCTTTTTTGACACATTCTGGTTCTTCATAATAGAGTGTAGTGCCCCATTCACTCTATTCCCTGCATTTACTCGTCGTTCTATATCCCTATCATATCTACCATCCCTGCTAAATACACATCCCAAATACACAAACTCATCCACTTGCTCAATTAACTCTCCTTCTATTCTTATTTCACATACCGTTTTGCTTTCTTCTCTTTCAAAAACCATCACTTTCGTCTTACTTGCGTTCACTTTCATTCCCCTTTCTTTTAATTTCCAGTTCATTAATGTAACCATCATTTGCAACTCAGCCGCCGATGACGCAAATATGACTTGATCATCGGCATACCAGAAGGCATTTGACGGTTAACTCGCCCATTCTTAACCCACATTCTTCATCTTTCAAAGTTTGCAAACACCTGTCCATAAATAGGTTGAACAGCCAAGGGAAGTCAATAATGAGTTCAGTGTTTGCCATAGCACATCCGTGTCCACTCTGTCATAAGCCTTTTCCAAGTCCATGAACGCACAAAAAACTTTCTGGTTTTTGGCCAAAAACTTCTCCGCAATCATGCGCATGGAAGACTTGATCTGTACACCCCATTCCCTTTCTAAAACCCGCTTGCACATCCCAAATTTTTCCATCAGTTTCTTTCATAACTCTTTCAATTAACACCTTAGCATACCGTTTACCCACAATACTAAGCAAGTACCACGGTACCACGGTAGTTTTTGCAGTCCTGCTGTGACCCTTTACCTTTATATATTGGTACAATAACTGCTTTACACCAGTCATCCGGTACCCGTTTTAATTCCCAACATAAATTAAACAAGGAGTACAGCAGGCCTGCCACCACTCCCTCTCTAGTCCTTAGCATCTCGAGTGATACTCTATCATATCCTGCTGCCTTACTTGCTTTCATGCTTTTCATTGCTTTCATTATTTCATCTACACTTATCTCCATACCCCTTTCCACTTCTTTCGGAATTTCTAGTTTATTTAATTCAGACGACTCTTCACTCATAAACACGCTTTCAAAGTATTCCTTCCATCTGTTTAAATTCGAAACTTCATCATTCAGAATACATACATTCTCGTCTCTTATAGCATTAATTATAGGCTGTTTTGTGTTTCCCCTGGCAGTTCTTACAAGTTTCCAAAACATTTTTTTGTTAGCCTGGAAATTATCAGATATCCTTCTATCATTCTTATCCGTTCTTTCTTTCTTTTTCCTTTCAACAACTTCTTTTACTCTCTTATTTAGACGTCTAAATTCTGCCTTTTTTCTTTCAATCTCATCATTCATACCAGAAGAATTACCAGCTTTGGTTGCTAGTAAATCTAACCATGCTTTCTTCTTTGATTCAACTGCCACCCGTACCTCATCATCCCACCACAACGTATTACTTTTCCTTTCATTTGTTCTCTTACTTGCACCACATACTTCAGTGGCGGCATCCACCAAACCTTTCTTAATATTATCCAACACAGTATTCAAGTCTAAATCATTCACACACAACTCATTCAAACATCTAATATTTTCTCTCAGTCTACATTTATACTTCTCTTTCACATCTTCATCTTGTAACTTCTCTATTATTATACGCTGTAACGCAGTGGTAGACACAGATGTCCGATGCCGCCAACGCTTGAAAAGACTATTAATTCGACATAAGACCAAGTAATGATCCGTCCCTACGTTGGCCCCCCGGTAAACCCTTGTATCTACGACTGCGCTCCTCATTCTTTCATCCACAATTACGAAATCTATCATGCGTCTATCATCACCTCTTTCGCGTGTATACATGTGAATCTTCTTATGACGAAAAAAGTATTCGTCACAAAAAGATTCTTTTCCACACATACGGTGAGGAGATCTTCATCATTCTAATTTATACTTTCATCACTAAACGTTCCCAATATCCTTGCATAACCAGACCTCTTCACCCCAACCCTTCCATTAAAGTCTCCTAACATAATAACATTTTCATTTTCCTTACATTTTGTCAACACCATCCTTACCATGTTCCAAAACTGCTCTCGGATGTAAGTGGGCTTAGACATATCTGGGGCCTACACCCCTAGCAGGAACAGTTTCTTTAAGCCCACTTTCATTCGTATCCATAGCAGCCTCGGGCTTACACATTCATACTCTTTCACACATTGACGCATTCTTTCTGAAAATATGAAACCGACTCCGTGGCATGCCCGTTCGGTCTCGTCTACACCAAACCAATACGCGGTATACGTGCCATGTGTGGTGACATCCTTTCCCTTTCGTTTCGTCTAATTCACACATAACACATCTATTCCTCTGTCATTCATCTTTTCTCATACTTCATTCATCATTCATTCCTCCATATACATTCAGCGTAGCCAGACGGGTTTCCGCAATCCACTTTTCGCCCCTCCGGGAGACAGAACGTGACTGGTGGCGAACCTCGTCGCCGATTCTATCTAGTTATGTATAGTTGAAGTAGTAGTTAATAAACTAGCTTCCAGGCGGCGCTGTTGCCGCGGCAAAATTTTACGTTAGAGATTCTTATCTATTTCCGTATATACACCCTTATCTATGAACTAAACCGCCAGTGCGTATAAAAAAATAGAGGCTGGCCGCGAAGCGGGCCGCGACTCTTTTTTCAAGCGCCGCGGTTGAAATTTTGTAGTGGTTAAGTGCGTACGATCTCATGCCGTTGCATATTAAACTGGAAAAGTGGCTAACCGCGCGGTCAGCCGCCCCCGCGGCTAACCGCTAGTGCGTAGGAGCGTTAAGTACCTGGATGACCGAGCTTTCCTCGGTATTTTTTTTGGAAATCGTGTGTTTTGGAAATTATATTTAGATACAAATTACATACTGATGAAACATGAATAATATTTTTTTATCTTATTGACATAATGGAAAAACTGAACTGGTTATTTGAATAAAAAAATCATGAGTGCAATTAGTTTAATTTAAATTTTCGTATTTTTAAAAAAATACTAAAAAAAGGGCATTTTAAAAGTTGGACCGAAGACGGAATGCGAACCAGGGCACTACGATTTCGCGATGGCCCGATATCCACAATACAGTGTCAAAATTTACCTTCTTATATTGTAGCAGTTTTTCATTGCCTGAAAACACGGAAAAGTTTTAAAAAGAATTAGCTAGATCGATTTATTGCCCCCGAAATCCCAAGGACACTAAATTTTATGAAAATCGTTGGAGTCGTTTCGGAGATTCCGATTATATATACAAGAGTTGCTTGTTTAAAGGTATAGGAGGAGGAGGATTATACGCTATCCTTACTAAAGTTTTACAATGAGCAGTGTACCTACTTGAAAAATTATCATAATACTATTGGAAACGCTATGTACGTAACATAGATTTACATTAAAAAGCTAAGACTAAGTGCGACCCGAAAGGTTCACACGACTAACTTCCCAGTGTAAAGAATAAAAAAAATCATGTTTTAATATTTTATACAATTTTTCATTCCGCACGAAAACGACTTGACCGATTTTGCTCAAAATTTAATGAGGTCTAAATTACATAATTATGCATTAAATGAAACTGGTCCCATGTCAATATCACTTTTTGTTCTCAAGATACACGAGGCGAAAATTGAATCCGAATATACATACATATATACGTACGTACATGCGCACACACGGACATCCTCTTAAAAACCATACTATTCGACTCTAAAGACCTTGAAACGTGGAGATATGCTAAAATTTCCAATTTGCAAAATCGGACCCATTACAATGATTTCCCACTGGGAAGTTAATAGTATTATAATATTTTTTTCTCATATTCACCTGATATTCAAATGTATATAACACAAAACAATGCATATAGATTTCATAAATAACTACAACAATTACGGCTGCGGGACTGTCCCACAAAATTCAGGAAAGTTGGTAGCGCCACCCATGAGTCCGATCTTCTTTGAATTAATTAATAATTAATAAATTATTTTCATAAACTCAGCTAGGTATGTCATACCTATTTTTATATTACATACCTATTTCGTTTAAGACTCACCGGAAAGGCCAATTGTATGTGGCAAGACATGGTTCTGGGCCACTGCATGTTTCACAACCAGGCTGGCACTTAAAGCATTCGTAAGGCTCACTCCAATTTTCTAGACCACCTTCTTCATATTCTTGGTATGCAACTGAAAATTCAAAATTTGTTTACTCGTAATAATGACATGAAGTAGTTGTTAATGTCCAGGTTTATAATATAAAAAACCACTTTTTGACCACTGTATTTATAACGGCAGTTACTTAATTGCCATCAAAATTGCGGAATGAACTCGTTTCGAGTAAAATAATTTAATTTTAAAGGTGTAGGTATCCCTTAATTTATTGTAGTATATATTTTATATACAGAAAAGGTTTCACCCCTGAGGACTAAGTTAGAATACCTTACTTAGCATTTTAAACGACTATCCGTTCCCATCATCCAGCACACGAAACACAGCATCATCGCTGCTATTTTACGCTGGTAGTTTATAAAAGCGCAATTTTTCCCATTTAAGCGGACCCATTTGTGTACAGCGCGGCACTATAATAATAACAATAACAATGTCTTCCAGACCGAATTTTAGTCACTGCGATCTCAGCGGACACTAGTCATCGGCGCAGGACAGGATTATAGTGTCCAAGTGTATGCGCAAGCACAGGTGCACTCTCTATTCCCTCACTCTCATAATCCGATGGGACTGTAAACCGACACGACCGGAGAAGGATCCGGTGTAGGACCAACGGCAACGGGATGTGACTGCCGCCAACTTCACGACTCCGGGTAACTACTGGGAATTTCTTGACGGAAAACACTACCTACCCACCTACTACATTATGTAAATGAAATATCGATAAGACGTTTTCATTATTTGAATAAACATTGTAAAGAACATTTTATGTCTCGAAAATTTGACGGTTATTTTATTTCACATATTTTTTTTAGTTTTATAGATTTCGAACCAAATTTTTGGTATATGGTTTTTGACTATATAAACTTGGATTTCATAAAAGGAAAACACGATTACATGTAATTTTCCGATAGAAAAATATTACAAGTTAGGCTCTAATAGTTACATTTCTTCATGCCACCACAATATTTTTACGTACAAGTTCATTGAATTATTTTTAATATATTATATAAGTTCTCATAAACCATGTTTTTAATCCATAAAAGTTTTGTTAAAAAATAAAAATGTTTTTTGACGCTTACTTAGTTTTATTTTGCAAGCGCGTATTCGTTATAGCTATCTCATAATTTGCGTACATATTATGAAGTCATTGCATCACTTTCATTTTGACACTCCCTCAGTTGTTCGTGAGATTCACTTACAAAGGGATAAGCCACGCTCAAAAAACAATTCATTTTCAAGGTATGCTCTTAATAATACACTGTGGTTGCTAACCTGCTTGCCAATCGAGGCAACTTTTTTAAGGGTGACTAACAGCACACAGTCCACCTGATGGTAAGTTGTTGCTGTGACCCATAGACATCTACATACATGTCCTTGCTTACGAATTAGAATGCAAATAAATGGTCAAGTATAAAACTTTTTTATAGAATAAGGCTGACAAACGAGCACAATGTGAACACTAAGATGGAATGCCTAGTTTCCAGTAAAAAGGGTCTCCGGTTATCTACACTCATCATACAAAACGCAGCAGCGTTAGATCACTATTTTACGCTGATATTCTGTGAGAGCATGGACCTTCGGTCGAGCTGATCCATTCGTGCTACAACTATACTACTACAGCGGCAGCATGGCTCTACCACGTTGAAAAACGTTTCGTTTTAAAGGGCGGTAATGGTATTGGTGGAACTAAGCCACCCCTTCCACTCGTTGTAATATACTCGAATCCGACGTAAAGCAAACGTATTTGATCGACCAATCTGAAAACATTTTTATGGTGTCGCCTGTATTTACCCGTACTAAAACGTTTTACTACGTAGTACTATTACTAATTCTATAGATTATAGCCATACGTGGTAAAGCAACGTGCAGCTAATTATGGTTGTAAAACGAATGGGTCGGCTCGTTCGGGGAAGGACCGCGCTCTCACAGAATACTGGCGTAAAATAACAGCTTAATACTGCTGTGTTTCGTATCGTGAGTGTAAAGATCCGGAGACCTTTTTTACTGGAAACGAGGCATTCAATCTTAGTCCTCAGGAGTGACGACGCATCTGCGCTTTGATTCTTAATCGAGGATAAATGTAGGTTTATATGGGTCACAGCATCCAATTACCATCAGGTGGACTGTGTGCTCGTTTGTCAGCCTTATTCTATAAAAAAGTTTTATACTTGACCATTTGTAATTAGTGCATTTAGAACTCACCTTCAACTAGAGAGCCATTGAATCCTTCAGGATGATGTATAGAATAAAAACCAGGTCTACATCTGCAAATGTATGATCCTCTTGCCCATCCTGCATGTCTTATGTTCATTCCTCGATTTCGTTTGTATATACACTGTTAAATATTTGAAAACAAATGAACAAATTGATAAAAATATGATAGGTATTTGGAAACAAATCACTAACAATTTCAATAAAAATAAGCATATTAAGTGCCTAGTGGTTGCAGCATAGAAGAAATCTATCACCCTATATCGTTATGTGAGGTGACAAACGAAATGTGGGAAAGCTTCTCAGATCGTAGATTTCGCATGAACCATAAATATTCATATCCATGGCAGAGGCGGGGATTAACGTCACAGGTGCACAAAGCGCTGCGATTCTCTCTCCTGCCAAGTGTTATCCAATCCATGGTTCAGTGGTAGACTATTTACCGGATTGTTTATAAGAATGATGATGAATTAACATCTTCGTCATCATCAACCCTTAAAAACGGGAATGGGAAGGAATTGCCTTAATCGTCGCCGAGCAGGCGGGTTGATGATGCATTATTAGACGTATCGCACCTTTAACGCTGGTAGTATTTACCGTCTGTTGTAAATGAGATCTTTATACCGCCATCTATCGAAAGCCATAAAATTTTGTGACTTGTCCCATATTTGCCTCTTACACTTACACACACTTACATACCAACGGGACGAAGTGGGGTGAAGAATTATTTTACGTTGCCACCACCCGTCAAAATAATGAACAGTTGAGAAAAATAAGTGTTTCGTTATACACAAGTTAATGTATAATGATTTCTTATATTTACGCGAACACTACACATTGATTAAAACTACTTTTACAGATTTTATCGCGTTTTATTTAATTTAATATATAAAATAAAATTGTATTAATATATAAATATAAAATTTATTTTTAATACCCGACGTTTCGGGTGTTTTCCAGCACCCATGGTGACGGGGGGACCGCGAGGGACTGAGGTGACTGACGTCCCGATGTCAAAGTTAACACGGAGTACCGTCAGCTTTTTAATTATTGTCTTTGGTCCGATCTATACAGAACGAACTAACTGTTTTGAAGTCTTGCAGTGGTATGCTTGGGTTTAGTTTTAATTTTATTAATTATAGGGTCCCAAGCAGGTGGTAGTACCCAGCCTCCTTCTCTATTGAAATTAGGGTGTTTTTTAATTTCAATAGCCTCACGTATCATCCTTGGTAGGAATCGATGTTCTTTCGCGAGGATGTGTGTTTTTTATTAAATTTGATGTAATGGTTGGGGCCATCTAGGATATGATCACAAACTGCAGACTTCCCGGAACGTCAGCTATGTGTTTTTGTTAAGAGAATAAAATAAATAAAACGCGATAAAATAAAATAATTAATACGCGATAACATCTGTAAAAGTAATTATAATTAACGAGTTAATGTAGTCGAAACTTACATAAGTCGTCTCGTTAGGACATTTGTGTGTTCCATGAAAAGAGTAAATTTGATTGTCGTTTTCGTCTTCATACTTCGCTTCACATTGATTTATTTCCAAATTAGATATGTCTATGTCCAGTGATACTACACCACTTAATCTGGAGAAAAATAAAAACGGATTAAATAATAAATTAAAAAGTATTACTAATAATTATCAAAAAGTTATTGACGTCTAGTTTCGGCCATGAAAGCTGTTTGAATAGTTTAATTCCGTTACTAGCAGCAGTTTTAGATAAATTGGTGCAGTTTGCTAAACAAGCTCACCCACGAATTTTTGATACTGGGGCTGTATATGACAACAGCCAGCGTTCAGCCTCACAGCTGTAATATGGGTACGTCCACCAGCCTCCCATTGCAGCACCGGGCGGCGAGGGCATAAATCTAGACGATCTTAGTTCTTCTGTTTGATACGCTGATACATACCTGAAATTGATGGAAACTAGCGTTGCATGTAATTATAGATTAATTTATAAGCATGTAATAAAAATAGTAAAATTTTTTTATAGTAAATTAGATCCCACATGTTAAACTATATGTTAAAATTTAGACTGTTCCACATACTAACCACGGGTATTCTGGATCTGGTGGTTTATCCATCTGCGGCGATGGTACGGCAACTGGTTCACCTGTGCCATACCGTTCCCAGGCAATTGAACCTTGAACTACACCATCAGGTTGCAAGGCAACAGCACGTGCACCCACAGCGCGCTCGGAAGAACTACTTCCCATTACTAAACTTTGAGAAACTGCAGTTAGAATTTCTGAAATAAATTATGAGACCTTTATTCTAGACCGTCTTGAACCTTGAAATATAAATTTATCTAAGTGTCTTATGAAGTAGGTTAAAATCACATAATAACTTGTTTTGCTAAAGAAAAAATAATTTACAGGTAAGAGCTCAATATTACCATATCGTGGTGATGAAAAATTTACCACCCCATATCATCTCGTGGATGTCGTTAGAGAAGAGTTAGTTTTTTTTTACGGACTGCGTGCTCGTTTGTCACCCATAGGATATGGCACGCAGCCCATATCGCATGCTAAGTGGTTGGTTTGGCCCATAGACATCTACATATATATATATATATATATATATATATATATATATATATATATATATATATATATATATATATATATATATATATATATATATATATCAAGATTCAGATACATTGTCACCTCGTTTCCAGTAAAAAGGGTCTCCGGTTTTCTGCATTAACCATATGAAACACAGCATCATTAAGCTGCTATTTTACGCTGGTATTATGAACAATATGAATATAAATCAAGAATATCTATATAAGGTATGACTTTTAATAAATTAATAGCTGATAATTGAATACGATTCTTAACATAGTGGTAATAAGTGATGCTGCCTTAATAAACACCTACTCACTCTTCTCATGAAGTTACTCATATTATATACAGTGCGAAAAACTGGTATATGAATTATCGTTACCCTTTGCTGTATGCGTTATAAGCTTGTTGAATGTAATTCCTATTCCAACAATTACAATGTATTATTATGTTAATGTACGAGTATATTATTTATTATTTAGAACACTAAACTGGCATAACTAAAGTTAAAATTGGTTATACTAACGCTACTCAATTTTAAGATACCGTAAGTCTCATGCTGTCTCTATCACTTTAAATCAAAGTGACTGTGACACCACGAGACTTAACGGCATCTAAAATTAACTAGCGTTTGAGTATTGATTTGAGTATTTGGCCAATAATCTCACACAAAACGGACGACTTTTCCATTTTAATAACAATCAATAATGTGAATGAAATGCTTCCTTATCGAAACATAACAGTAATATCTCCTATATGCTATATGCTATTCTCCAGAAGGGAACCAGCTGGGAGACTTAGTGATAAGGCAAAATTGCATGTTTCTATTCCAGAACGATCGGTCTTCGGATAAAGGGCATAATAATTTCATTCTTAATGTCATCGCGCTATTTTAGAGTCAAGAAATTTTGCAATAATATGTACTAAAAGGTAGCGCATAAAGCTTTTATTCAATTCGTAGGGAATTTTTATTAAAAATAACCCAACTACCACCAATGGCTTATAGCAAAACTAATGGGCGTGTTAAAAAAATAAAATTTTGAAAAATTACCGGCGTTTTCTAGACCGAGTTGGTGTAGTAAGTTAGCAGCTAAATCTGCTCTCGCTCTAGCAGCGTCCCAACGTGCTGCGTGAAGGGGGGCACGCAGGCGGCCGTACCTATGAGTCACGCAGAGTGCTCCTGTGGCACCAGTAGCCACTGCATGGACGAGCCGAAGTGATGACTCCACTTCTTCCTGAAATATTGTACAATTAATCTTTATAGTCAACAGTCTCGGAATTATTGCGCGTAATTAATTAATTTTTCATTAATATACTCATTACAGTCTATCATAAGTACAATGCTGAACATAGGCCTCCCCCATAGACCGCCTAATACAGGTATATTTATCATAGTTGCCACGTTCGCCAGATGGATTGGCAATCGTAGTTTTTTGATAATTTGAGATGTAATCAGGAAGATGCTGTTGCCCATCTCCTGTTTCGGTTTCCTTCCGTCGCTTCTAACGACACCCATGGGATGATATGGAGCAGTGGATTCTCTTCACTTGAGTAGTATTTTTTTCTATTTTTAAAATACAATAGACGACGCTCTTCTTTTTTAATCCTTTTAATCCACATCCGATCATAAACGAATTTTTTTTTTATAAAGGACAGCACCACACTAGAATTTTCTCCTGTATCGTGGGGGCAGTGTACATATATAAATTTTACAAGGACAAACATCCGGACCGGGAACAATTAGTTGTAGCTCATACAAATACTTGTTTCGCCCGTCACTTTCAAGCCACTGCACTACGGAACCATCAAATGTGCCGGAAGAATAGTATTTCTTGAATCAGTTGCTTCTAATAATCGCGCTCTGGCGGGCAAGTTGGTGAGCATAGAATCGATAAACACCGCTGCACTGTTTATTTTGTTTCTTATTCCTAGTCTAATACCGAACCTGAAACTCAGAGAGAGTTTCAGGTTCGGTATTTCTTGGGTATTGTTTTCTGTCAGTCAGTCTAACGAGCCTCGTTCTTTAGATTAGTGAGCGACGCGTGCATGCGAGCTTGACATTTGGTGACAATATCGCGAATTGTTTGACAATATTGTCTTTTTAAAATGCTCAATAATTATCTAAGTTTTTAACCGGGATACTTGCGAATATCCGACTCCGTATCAGCAATTTGAGAAGTCCAGATTACCATTAATGAATAGATCATAAATTTTTTATCACGAATTTGTTACTTATTGCTATCTTAAGTCTTGGTCGGTTTTCTTTAGTGTTTTAATCTAACACGATGTCGAAAGCTCTCTAATATTTAAGTAGATTTTTATCACGAGTATGATGTTGTTGCTGTGGCAAGGCGACGTTATTATAGCTTAAAAGATATTTTTATATAAGTTCTAAATATACTATCTGACGTGTCATTTCTTAATTTTATATTTTTAGTTGCTTAACTAAAGAAATATTTCATAAATGGGTATTTATGGACAACGGGACAACTTGCGGAAATTCATTTACGTATTAGCGACTCCGTGGCGCAGTGGTTTAGCAATGGGTTACAGCGCTTAGGACCCGGTTTCAAATCTCGCACGGAACAAATATTTTGTACGGCCTACAAACAATTGGTCTGAATGTTTGTACTTGTGAAATTTACGTATATCCATTTCCCTCACGATATAGGAGAAATCCCTAGAGGTAATATAAAAAAAGCGATGTCATGTTTGATGAAAGCCAAAATTTATTTCAAATTAGGATTAATGCCAGCTTTTAGATTTTCTCTTTCCTCAATCTAATTCCTAAAATTTCAAACTAAGTGGGCAAACCGAATAGACCCGCCGGCACCAATGTGCTAATTTACCGCGTGCTCGGCGCACGCGAAGCATTGGGTGCGTTTGGCAGAAAAAAGCGCTAGCAAGCGCTTACAAGCGCTAAAATAGTTTTCGGCCAGGACACGATTGCTACTTCAGTAGCGCTGACACAATCCGCCATTTTGCTTATTTAATTTGTTTGTTTTGAAGTAGTTTATAAGTTCTTTTGTGCAATATTAGTTTTAAGTAATATAATGACATGAATAAACATATACATGTTATTAAAAATTCATGATTGGTAAGTTTTTAATATGAATACTTTACAAACATATATTTAAATTAGGTTAGGTTCCCCGGTTAAAACTAACATCGTGTCCTAGAGGAAAATAGCTACTTACGCTTTGACAGCACTTACCGCTTACGATCGCCATTTTGTTTACAAGCGCTTGCTAGCGCTTTTTTCTGCCAAACGCACCCATTGTCTATATCTGACAAATTAACAACATTTCGGTGATGAGTCAATTAACTAATACGCTTATTAGCATTAGCAATAGAGCCCGTAATTTTCCAAAACCTTTTAAAAAACAAATGAACTTTAAAGTCTGTTACGTTTCCCGTTGGTAAAATTCCATTAGGCATTATGTTGTGAAAATAACCAAAATAGACAAAAGTAGCTGATTCAACGTTGGTGAAACTTCAAATTTTTCCTTCAGCATATTATACTACGGAACTAAGTTTTCCGGTTAGTATTAGTACAACATATTACAGAGCCACTTTAAATATTACACTTACATAATATATTATAAGCACAGAACCTCTCACAACCTTACCTTACCGTGCCTGCTCCGATGCTTATACCATAACATCGGAGGAAGTATTGGATATAGTGTGAGAGCCTAAAGGACAATTACAGCATAAACATACCTGAAAATCTCCAATTTTTATTTTTGCTTAAATCAGACTGTAATTCAAACTCAGGACTTCACTTTAATATGTAAGTCTTCGTACAAGTTGACTCAGATCGTGACTTAGTTAAAACTTAAGTAAGCTTAAAAGCCAAAACAATTAAAGTTGTGCTGTACTATCGAAGAACACAAATACATTTTCCATGGCAAAAATCATATCCGGAAATCTACCATCCAGAAAATACCTGGAGACTCAAATATAATTGAGATTACGAATTGATGCGAGCACCCGCATCTCCCTCATGCACGCGTCGTGAGCATCTAATGAATTGTAAATCTCTGTTCACTTAGATTGAAGTACGAAAGACGGGCAAAGCTCTATGAATTAAATTGTGTGTTTACGTTTGATTAAAATGTTTATTTTAATAAAAATATGGAAATGTTCATTTTTAGAATGTTATTTATAGTAAGTGTATGTATGTATACTTATATATGTATAAGGCTTAGACCATAAATAAAGGAAGGAACGATGCATACAATATCAAGTGACGCCGAAACTATGCTCAACTTCTGAGAATTGACACACAACTTTCTTTCAGCCCGTAAAAACCTCCTACAGGACGCACACATAATATGTACCTAATATTATCTATAATCATATTGTTGGTTGCTTATGATTATAGTTTAGAATCTAATCAATCCTATCAAATCTAAACTTTAGATGCATAATGTGTACCTACACATGTGCTTGTTTTTACAATTAATTGAACATGGCTTTGTCTGGTTTCGTCCTCAATTAAAATTTACGCAGCGCTCAAAGATGAACATTATTATTGTGGAGTGATTAAATGAAAATTTTGTTAAGACGGAAAATAGGGTGATAGTTGAAAGTCGGCTGTTAAACAAATTAATAAGAAAAGCTTTCAAAATCAACTAATAGTATTAACCCCCTCTCCCCGCTTATATATATATATATATATATATATATATATATATATATATATATATATATATATTGTACCAGGTTTACATTATTAATATATTCTTAATTATCCCTTCGCGCTTGGGAAAGGCTCACAATATGAATATATATAAAACACCCGAAACAAGGGTCTCACTCTCCCACATTTATTTAAAAAAATGTGGGGAGGCACACGCCGTGTGCGGTGAGTGCCAACCAACTAACGCGCTCCTCCCGAAGGGAACGTTAAGTTGGGAACTGAACCGTAGGTCACAGCAAAATAACTGGCGAACCGGTAAAAGAGGGCTTGGCCCTTTGGTAGTGCGTAAGCACAAACATCGGCCGAAGTCGCGCATGTCAATGCGTGTAAACGCCATACAGAATACGAACAAATCCAGCCACAATTAATGTGCGTCACACGGTTTAGGTAAATAGGCACACTGGCCAGAAACCCTCCGTGAGCGCCACAACCTGCCAGACCACCGTTCCTGCAAACGTGATGTAAGTATATGGCATCACCACCGATTGCATGATCTGCACGGCTACTAGCCGCAGAGCCTACCGCTCACCTCAAGGGAATGGGGTCCCACGTTGTGCGGCTTTCGGCCGCAGCCTTGAGAGTCTCCTCGAATCCTCCATCCAGCTACTACCCCCGTGAGGTCGACACATATGCTTCACCAACCAAAAAATTAAATGTCAGAAGAAATAGCCAAAAATAGTAATAATTTGCCACCAGAGAGGGTTTGTGTCACTGAAGCTGAGTATATGCATTTTCGGTCATGTTTGTCTCACCTACGAACAAGTTGCCTTCAACCATTCAAAGGTGGGAAAGTTACGGAGATATATTATTATGTGTTTATACAAAACATCATGGAGGTCAGACAGTCTGCAGCCCCATAATGAAGGGACTCAACTTGGGCAAAGATACTTAGGTGTGAGTCAAACCAAGACGCAGAGAGCGCCATTGAGAATAGCGACCCGCCAAACAACCATCGCAGAGACGCAATGCTTCAGAACGCAACAGGCCTTAATACGACTATCGTCGGGCTTACACCATCTCAGGGTCCCCCATACAATCCCAGCAGACATCACCACCCGCATACTTCTATCGACCATAAACAATACACCCACATGAACCCAATCGACTTTGGTAACAAAATTTGTATTATTGTTAATTAAAAACAACACCAACGTATCATAGTAGCGCGCTACTAAGATGCCAGTGCACTAAGACATGAAGTTGAGTATGCTTGTTACACTTGAAAGTGCTACCAAATATACTTATCCCAATTCGAAAGATAGCCGACGTATCGCTATGCGCTACGACGCCGCCCCCCAACGGTATGGGTGTGCGATGGCCACAGGAAAGCCATATTGCTACAACAAACCCGCTACCCCCGGCACTAAGATGATATGTCTAGGACACATCGGTTAGCGAGTCCAAGTTTACTTCGATCTCGGTCGCTTGTGATGCAGTATACAAGCCACTATAATAATCCTTTTCAAGTCCCATTTCTATTAATATAATGCTTTTACATATATGAAACCTTTCACATATTTGCTTTATTTC